GGGAACTGCAATTGTGGCTGGCTCATGTGGGCAAAAACAAAATTGTCAAAGGGAAATAAATGAATTAGTTCAAGGTCCATTTAATTAAATAGTAATGAAATCTGACAGGGATGCAGGCAAGCATTTGGTATTTTCAGCATGTGTTTTAAAAGGTTTTATTAATTTTGCTGGAATTATGTGCCATTGTAAAAAATGCATGGCAGTAAAAGATCTATAGAGATAAATCTGGACATGTACAGATGAGTAAAGCAAGCCATTTTGATGAACACTTTTCACTTATGATACAATCTGCCTCTTACTCCAAAGAGGAAATGGTTGAGAGCTTCAAGCCCTAGTATCTTTTGATATTTAATAAAACAATAGACATGATGCGTGAGCAGTGCACACCCAATTGTCTCTTCTGCCAGTGCTCCTGTCTTAGATCAGTTTGAATTGCCGCTTGGGTAGATGAGTAGCAACATCATGCTCAGTGATACTATCCTGGTCCTATAAAAAGTAACCTGTGCGCTGTCTCATTTAATAGCAGGCAGTACTACTGACTTGACTCAGGGAAATACATCAAAATGCCTCACTTCTCTTCTATAAGCTGAAATGAATCAGTTTAGAGAAAGCGTATATGAAGTCCTCACTCAGCTGAAGTCACTGGAAGTAAAGGAAGATTTTTATATCTTGTCAGGGTGTGTCTCTATACTTACAGCTAAGTATGCTTAGTATTTATAGTATGGAGATTTACAACCACAACTTCCATTAACCCATATTTCTGAAGAGGAGAGAAGAGCTTTTCAAAATTGAATATAATATCTGGAAAGATCAATAAAAAGGGAGATACTGGACAGATCTTGCATCAGCAATAGTGGCTCTAATTTCATAGAAGATAGAATAGTCTTAAACAGCATTAACAGTTAATCGCATTGCTTTCTTATGTTCAAATACAATTATTAGCCATTGACCTGGAATTGATAACATGAAAAACTTATAGTTACTATTGTTCCCAGGGGAATTCCTGTTGCATTATTATTTAATTGTGTGTATCATTTTGCAATAAGTATGCATTTAACTCATGTCACCTCAGTGCAGACATGAATGGGCAATGAAAAAGCAACCTCATTAAATGATGAGCTTCATAGTCAGAAAATGTTCGGCTCTTTGGAAATTTTTTGAATGATTGGCAGCATCTCTCTCTCTCATTGATCCAGAAAAATGTAAAAAATACTTATCACGGTGCTACCTAGTGTTGCTTCTTGGAAGGAGTGGCGAAGAACCCATTTCCTGGCATTGGTTTTAGAATTCAGAGATGGATGATATGATGTAGCTGGCCTCTTCAATTACTGCAAATTCCTGCTCTTGTTGAGTTAATTTGCCATAATGTTCAGTGTATTAGGCTATGTTAACATTTTCTGGTTTTCTAGAAGAAAATTCTTCCTAATTATGCATTTTCAGCAAAACAGACAGTAGTGCTAGACTTCAAACAAATTTTAGTGCTGTGGTAAAGGCAGGAGGGAAAGGTTGTTTGTGGAAAAATATTCCACATAGATTAACAGATTAATCCTGGGCTAGATATACATACACATTTTTATTGACCTAATTTTTTTTTAACTGGGGGCTGTTTCAAATAAGCCAGGATTCCTTGGACTGCACAATGGTGGTGTATAGATTCTGCTGAACTTTAGTTGTCTTTAATCTGAATGTCATAATTAACAGGCTCTGATAGCTAAAACGGCTTTTAGACTGCTTTTTGAAGATTTCATAAGCCAGAATGAACAAAAAAACATACTAAATTTGTCATTCTCTACTTTATACTGATCGCAC